CACTCCCACCCAGCTTGGAGTAATCCACAAACTTAGCAAGGGTACACTTGATCCCCACATTCATCAATAAAGATATTAAACAGGGCTGTGCCCAGTACTGACCCTTGATACAGCACTGGTGGCCATCTACCAGCTGGATGCAACTCCATTCACTACCAGTCTCTAAACCAGGGCATCCTGGCATTTTTTTGCATAGGAAACAGTGCACCCATGGAGCCATGAGGTGTCTGTTTCTCCAGGAGAGTGCTGTGGGAAATGGTGTGAGAAGCTTTGCTGAATTCCAGGAAGACAGAATACATAGTTTTTCCCTCTTCCACTAAGCAAGTCATAAAAGGAGTTCCTGTTGTGGAAGTAGAACTTGCCTTTCATGAGCCCATGCTGGCTGAGCCTGATCCCCTGCTGAGCTGCTTGGTACATGCTCTGAGATGGCACTTAGGATAAGCTGATCCATAACCCTCCTTCCAACCCTGGTTGTAGGTGTGAGCTATATTTGCCAACCTCCAGTTAACTGGGACCTCCTCAGACATCCCAGAGTGCTCAGTGAGCACTTTCACCAGCTCCCTTGGTACCCTTGGGTGAATCCCACAGACTTGTGCATGTCAAAGTGTCGTAGCAGGTTGCTGACTATTTCCCCTTGGAATATGGGGATTTCATTTGGTTCCCTGTCTCTGTTTTCCAGCTCAGGTGCCTGAGCACCCTGAGAACAGCTGGTCTTCCTATGTAAGATTGAAGCAAAGAAGGAACAAAGCACCTCAGCCTTTTCTTCACCATCTGACACTACGTTTTACTCCATATCCAACAAAGAATGAAGATTCTCCTTGGCCCCCTTTTTTATGTGAATGTATATACGGAAATGTTTTGTGTTATTTTTTTGTGGGAGTAGCTGGATTAAGTTTTCTTAAGTTTTCCAGTTTTCTCTCTGCATAAATTCACAACATCCTTGTAGCCCTCCTGAGGGGTGCACTTACATGAATGTGTATGTTTGTGTGCATGTATCTAGCCAACCAGGCAAAGGTTAGGTTGGAAAACTAGACACATTTTCCTTCTATCATCTGTGACATGTTGATTCTATTTATAACATCATTCTTGGAAATGCTAGGAGCATGAAGGTGAGTGGAGCACTAAATAAACTCCTGTTTCTATTTCAGGAAAATCCATACTGGATAAGCCTTATTCCAAAGATAGATGAAAGCACATCTCTGTGACCTAGTTAAGCCATGGGCAAGAGAAGGCATCTTAAAAAACTTTCTGCAAACAGACCGTTTCCTTCTAATACTATAGATTCAGTAATTATCTTTGAGATAAAAGTGTGAAACTAAAGGCTCAGTGACAAAACTCCAAGACAAGAAAGTTTAGACAAAAGGAAAAACAACTCACAAAGAAGGAAGACTAACTGAAGGAAAAATTGAAGGATATCTAAACTTATGACTCAAAAACCACATTGGATAGAGGGAAAAGATAAAATAATTGCTTACAACTTGGACAAGTATCTCATAATTATACCACAGTATTACTTTCAGTCGTTAGCACGCTGACAGGAAATAGTGCACTTATATATACACAATATCAATTCACGTAATCATGGAATATCCTGAGTTGCAAGGGACCCACAAGGATCATCAAAGTCCAACTCCTGGCCCTGCATAGGACACTCTCAAGCATTTCACCATATACCTGAGACAACCTGAGTTGTCCAAATGCTTCTTGAACTCTGTCAGGCTTGGTGCTGTGACACTTCCCTTGGGAGTCTCTTCCAGGGCTGAACCACCATCTGTGTGAAGCCTCTACTCTTGATATTCAAACCAAATGTCCCCTGACTCTGTATCAGGCTGTTTCCTCAATTCCTGTCACTGGTCACCAGAGTATAGAGATTGGTACCTGCCCTGCCTCTTCCCCTCAAGAGGAAGTTACAGACTGCAATGAGGCCTTCCCTCAGTCTCTTCTTCTCCAGGCTGAAAAGTACAAACAACCTAAGCTGCTCTTCATATGGCACCCCCTCAAGGCCCTTCACCATCTTCATTTATATCCTTCATATAACATGGTACTCAAAACTGGACACTGTTGTCTGTGTGCATGCATACAATATGTATGTACAATATATATGTATGTTTCATCAGAGACAATTTCTACTGGGTATTTATCCTAATGTTTCCTTGTCACCCTAGCTCACTAGTCAAAATAAGGAACAGTTAGATCTCGAAAAATTTTTGGGTACAAAGGTTTGGCTAATTAAAAAGGGAGAAGGGGAACAGAATCCCCCAAATATAGAAAAATCCTCAACTTCTTTCCAAGAGAAAAAAAATGCTTTTATAAGTCCTTTCTAGCAGAGTAAACTCACATAATTTCAACATAATGCTTATAGATCAAAATCTTCTCTATAAAGTATGTGCCCCAAACATCTTCCAACGTTGTCTCATTTTTCCCCAGCAATAAAGGTACAAAATTCTTTAGAAAATGTATAGCAATTGAGGACCCAGCTATGTTATTTACTGCTTTTGTTGGATTATTGAAATGCTGGCAAAAGTACACAGAAATGACAGTGAGTTGTTTCTAATTGCTCTCTTGTTTCTTGGCTGCTCCCTTCTTCCACACACAGTTTTGTGCAAAGTTTCACTTTTTCTGGAACACAGAGCTGTAGAACAACTTGAATTTACTACAAAGAAACATTTTCCTTGGGCTACTAACCTTTCACTGCTTTCACTGAGCATATGGGCTTATTCCACTGGCCACAGCTACAGGCATCACAGGACCAATCCTACAAGGGAAAGTGTTTATAGTCAGCAACCAGCACAATGAGAGATATGCTGTATAATCCAATACAAGAAGACTTAAAAGGAAAGGGGAAGTCTATACATAGGTCACTTGCTGGTTTTTTTCCCCCCTGAAACCATCTTGATATATACATTGATTATTTCTTCTTTCATTTTCATTCTTGTGGCAAAGCCTTGCTAATTTGAATGAAGGCATGATTTTAATTATGTCCAGAACTTAATTCTTAAAAAAAAAAAAAAAAAAAAAAAAAAAAAAAAAAAAAAAAAAAAAAAAAAAAAAAAAAAAAAAGAGTTCTGAGGCAAGCATAGAAGAGAAAACAGGTTGGATCCCAGCACAAAACATACTTAGGGAACAATCCCTTGTTCTTTAAATAACTTCAGCAGAGAACATTAAAGTTTTAGTACAGGTCCACAGTACTCTTTTTCTACCTGGCCCAGGAATAGCAGATGTCATTTTAATACTCAACCAGGGAGTTTGAATTTAAATTATTTTAATATTTATTTTTATTTACATGCTTTTATATTCAAATATCACCTGGAGACCTTTTGTGCTTCCTATATATGAACTTTAAACTTCTTTGTTTCTGCAGAATATATTATTAAAAATTTAGTGCTATGTAGTGATTCAAAACATTGGATGGTCATTGAAAATTTTAGCTTTTATCAGTAATATATAAGCTACTAGGTTTTGAAAAGTTGGTTTGAAAGCTCCCTGAGACAGAAATTTCCATGCTGTATTGGTCCTTACATATAAGACCACCCAGTAAACTGAGCACTCCAGAACTAAAGTCAGCTTCTGTAGAAAAGACAAGCACCCTCAAATTTTATTTCATTATGTAAATGGAAATACAGTGTTTTGAAGAATAGAACTACAAATTAACACTTCCTGCCCTTTCAAAACAAGAAAATTTAGATTGAGTTTAGATAGTTACTGAGGAATTTCTGAAATGGAATATCTATGCAGCAGCTAATATTCTTGTTAACTTCTATGAAAGAGGAAGAGAGTTTAATGTAGAACATAAATCATCATTTACTTTCTCATGTCCACTCATTTTTAAGACAAAGGACTGGAGAAAGTATGTAAATTATGCTATTTACTCAACAAGGAAATACATTGTTACACTCTCCAGTTTATATCCAGTACTGGAATCAACAGCAAATTTTCTTAAGAATTCAGTAGAATCAAGATTCTGCTTCCTGGGCAAAAGTATTTTCTGTCTAGAGACTAATAACATGTCCATAACAAGCCATAAAAATGTGAGGTTGTAAAGTTTCTCCAATTTAAACACTGACTACAACTGTTCTGATTTTTCTCCTGTGAAACACAATCATAAAGCCAGAAATAAGATGAGAAAGAGATATGACAAAGGTTAATGGGTTATTTTATTAGGAGGTTGCACTTTATGTTTGCTCTTTCAGAAGAAAATGAAACCCACAAAGTGGAGTAAGTCTAAAGGGGGCCAAACTGGCCAAACAGCTTCTGTTCTCTGGAAGAGAAATTCCATGGTTAATTGAACATGTAGGACTATAGAAACCATGCCCTGTAAGAGTGCAATTCTGCTCTCCTTTTGAGGCCCAAAATATGGGCATCTATAAGCAAAGAATTAAAACTAACAACACTTTCTTTTGGATGTGGTAAGGATTCCTGACAAATTTCACACTATTATATTTCCTGAGCTGTAGTTGAGCAGTTGGTGAGCTTCAGCTTTATTGAACAACCAGCTGGGGTTTTTTTCAATCACTGATCCTTGTCAGCTGTTATGATGGCAATAATTATCATTATCGTAATAGGTTTAATGAGCTCTCAGTCTGCTCTTCCAAATATGTTTTGGTTTCAAATGTATTCAGTTATACAGCTGTTGAATTAAGCAGCAAATTATTTACAGTTTTCTCTCATCTGCTATTTATGCAAAAAATGCATCTGTCTCAGGATCTGACTGAGGGATTTTATTATACTGAATGAATTTCAGCAGTGAAGTGCTCCCTGCTGAATCTAGACAGCTTTAATTTATTTGTCAGACTTTGAAAATGCCAAGAACACCTGTGCTAAGGTGAAAATGTCCATTACTAGTAACCAAGAATTTTCAGGTAGTACACATCTGATACCTCCTTACGATTTTCCCTTCTATTCGCCTTCAATGAAAGCATGAATCCTTCTAGGCAGAAGGCAATAAAACATGTCTATGCCCACATCAGAATTTCTCTAAAATCAATGTCAAACCTACCATCCTGTTCTTTAGGGAAGCCAGTGCAAGGTGTACTCTCCATCCATGTTCTCCAGGCATAAATATCCTCATTTCAAGAGAACATTTTGAAAAATTGACCCCATTAACACATAGGGAGTATATGCTAATAAATTCAATTAAATTCTGAGTATATAAACTGTGCATATTGTGTGCATGCATAACTAAATATGTATTATGACACTTAAATCAGCCTTCAAGTTTCTATGCTATAATATTTGAAGTTAACCTAAAAGATTATTTATGTTTTAAATGAAAAGAGCTTTTCTTCTGCTATAGTTTGCAGCTGGGAGAAGACAAAAATTTGGGCTACCTTGTGAAATTTGGACTACCTTGTGAAAATAAATATGGATTTGCAGGAAGTATCCAAAATCAATGAGTGCAGATGTTGATGAGACACAAATATAGTGGAAGTTTTTAGAAAAACAAACCTGAGCTGGGAATAATACTTACTGAGTTTAGTCAAATCCTTTTCAACACCACTTCTTGTGGTGTTGTTTTCTCAGTCTCACATGCATTGAAGTGAGATGTCAAAAGAAGTCCATGATTTAGCCATTTACTTAATTGTCTATGGAGATAAGGTTTCTTGCACCATGCCTTTTACAAGAGATATGTCTACTTAAATGGAGAGTGCTATCAAGACAAAGATACTGCCATAAATATTCCTCTCCCCTTTTTGGATTATCGTCACTAATAGAACTGGAATTGGAAATAAGTAAGCAATTGTTCATTAACACGATCTGGAATGACTGAAAATGAGAAGTGGACCAGATCAGGTTTTTTCTTCCTGCATTAGTATGATAGTACAAAGAAGATCACTGTCTTTTCACTTCTCCCTGGGAAACTACCTTAATCTGCTGGTAGTAGGCTTCAGGACAAAACTTCTTCTTTCCATCAACAAATGTGGGGTTTTTTCTCAATGGATGCTTCATAAAATAAAACTAATAACCTTTAGAATTCTTCATAGGACATAATCAAACCTCACTAAGGCCTGTGGGAAGACTTCCAATGGCATCTGAAGGCACTTCTCACAGTTTGCCATATTATTTTTTATGGGTTCTGTTGTCCAATGAGATAGGAACCCATTTATACCTCAAAAAATGAAAAAAATACTTACATCTATAGAACGTATGTCAGCAGGTGGCAACCTTTGCAGACAAGCTCAATGAAAATCAAAGGAAGTTAGCTGATTAAAAATCTGACGGCTTGACATGACCCAGTAAACAGATACAACAAGTAATGAACTTTCAAGGACATCTAATTTATTAAATTATTTTTTCCCTTCATTTGCTATTTTGGTATCATCCTAGCTTCATGCTTGAAATTCAGTCTTTTTATATATTCCTACTGGTCTAAGGGCTTCCTATCCAGTATAGCTGCATTAATATTGTCTGGGAGGTGTCAGAAAAGGGTCTTCCCACAGGAAACCATGCAGCAGAAATAATCTCCCTGCATTGGCTTTCCTTCTCCTAAATTTTAATATTTTAACTTGCATATTTTTTTTGTATATTAACAGAGAAAGGCAGAAGTTGAACATACCCATTTGGCTACACTGTCTTTAAAATCATCTTGGATTTATGTGTAATTTGTATTTGTTTCATTGTTTTTATTCATTGTTAGGGTGCAAGATACAACAATCACTTTCACAGGAGTATAGTCACTTTGGTATTCATTATAGTAGAGGAAATGCCTTAAAATAGTATCAAAATTATACACATTCACTTTTCCATAACTTACAGATAATTTTTACTTTGATAATTACTGAAAGTATTAAACAAGATTTTCAAATTTCCTCTGCTGAAAGTCTGGAGCAGTCTCACCATACAGCCTGCCAAAGCTGGCATACTGTTTGTGGCATCAGATGCATTTATAGGGTTTATGGCATAATTTTGTTCCATGTTTGCATTGACTAGACTTAAACCAAAAAACATTGATAGATAACTGTACTGAGGTAGCTGCAGATGTATTTCTTCTCTCCAGTGTGAGTGCTTTGTTGTCAGTTTAGCAAAATGGTTTGCTACCCCTCTTGTTGCTTTTGTGTGTGCTCAGTCCTTATTCTAGGGACACCTTTGTTACCATTCTCTCTACTCTTCTGTCAGCTAACAAAGGAGTGGTGAGAGTGACAGAGCAGTATGTCTAGGTTGCCCACAGACCATCTACCCTAGGGGCTTACTGGCAACGCCTCTAGGAGTACTTAGCTCTGTGTACACCTCTAATCATTTCAGGTTATGAACCAAGTCATTTTTGAGTATAGCTTAGAGTGCTGGTTTGGATCTTTATTTTTTCCTCCTCCGAACCTTCCTTCCCCCTTTTTTTTCCCTTTTTTTTTTCCTTCCTCTTCATGAGTTTTCTTAGTCCTTCTCTTACCTCTTCATTTTTGTATTTTGTCTGTTGTTCACTCCCTCTCTACTTCTGTATTTTGTTTGCTAAAATGATCAGCAACAGAGAGACAACCTGCATAATGAAATTAATGTAAAGTCAACAGACTCTGAAGTGTTACCTGTTTACACAAAGTCACCTCAAACCACAGCTACACAAGATGGGAGCCTACAAGGTACAGCAAATTATATGGTCTTAAAGTGTGCAAAGGGAGTCTATGTCCTCAACTGAGCACCTGCATCTGCCTGATTTGCTGTTACTAACATGGAATTCAAAGCTGCTTTGGAGTGCGAGGGAGAGGGAACAGCTGCTTGCTGGCAGACCTCTGGGTCTGCATATCCCCACCCCATCCCTACCCACAG